TAACTTATAAACCTTCTCCTCTTTGTCTTTGATCACAAATCCCTCTGGTTGCTTAACATAGACATCCTCTTTTATTTCTCCATGAAGAAAAGCAGTCTTTACGTCCAAGTGATGTACTTCCCATCCTTTCGATGCCGCTAATGCAATGATAAACCGAATTGTTTCAATTCTGGCTACTGGGGCAAAAACCTCATCAAAATCTATTCCATGTCTTTGAACATATCCCTTTGCCACGAGCCTTGCCTTGTATTTATTAATGCTATTGTCGGAATTTCGTTTTATCTTAAAGACCCACTTCAAACCAATCGATTTAGCTCCAATGGGAAGATCTACTAAGCTCCACGTTTTATTCTTTGTGATAGACACAATCTCCTCTTCGCAAGCATCTTTCCATACTTTTAGTTGATTAGCTTCATTAAAGTCCCATGGTTCTTCATTCATTGACAACAAGAGATGTTCTCCTTCTATTTCTGCTAGAAGCACAAAGTCACTGAGATACCCGGGCAATTTGACTTGTCTTTGTGATCTTCTTAACTCCGGTGCTGCCGTTTGTGGCTGTACTTGCTCTTCCTCATAATCTTGCTCAGACTCATTTACACTCTCTTGTTCTGTTTCATTATCTCGTGGGTCACCAAGCTCTCTGTTTTCATTGATCTCTCTATTTTCTTCTATTTCCTCTGTTTCTTCTCCTCTGTCGAGACCGTGATTTCCAAAGTTCCCAAAGTTTAGAATAAACGTTCCTGATTCCATAGAAAGATCTTCTGAAATAAAGATTTTGTGGTGACGGTCCTTGTCATATCCGATAGCATACCTGTCTAATTCATGATAATTGATTCTGGGTTGGATCCACCTGGTTTGACCCAAATAAGGATTCCATACCAAGAGCCTCGAGCTGTCCTTGAGTACGCATAATAACAAACCGTCACAGTGAAAGACTCTAGATACCTCGACTTGCTTAAGTAGACTTACTTGGTTTATAGATGGAACAACCAAGTCCCCGTGGTTGCGGATTCCTTGGAGATCAAATTTCAAGGAACAAACCCTTGAATCCTTCATCATGAACCCCATAAACTGCTTCCTTGCTCCGGCTGCTGCTCCTGCTTTTTTACCAAAAATCTGTTTTTTAGATAAATCTTCCCACTTTTTGCAAGTAGATCGTGTTGCTCCCAGAGATGTCAATGGAACTCTTGAGAGTATCTCCCCTACCAAATCACATGGAAGATCTGATATTGTCGTCATTCTCTCACACGGACTCCCCAAAAACAAAAGTACGCCGGCAGTTAAGTCAATTGTTATGC